TTATTTTAAGGTTTCTAACCCCCCCCCCCTTTTTTTTTTTAGAGAGAGGTAAAGGTTAGAACCCCTGTAAGGTTTAGGTCCATTGGAAGATTTACTTTATATTCTTGTTCCAGTCACAACTAACATTTTTGGACTTCCCACCAATTTGTCTTAGTGACAATTTCAGCAAACTCCCCAGCAAGGATAGAGACAGCTTTGGCTTTAGATATACTTTAGGTTGATACATCCACAAAGAAACCAAGCCAACCAAGTCTTTGTAAAATTTTGGCCATGCATTTACATGATTTTGCATGAGCTGATGAGACAGTCACACACACATATGTAAAAACAGTGATATTTAGAAGGGGGTTAAACAGTGCCATTTGATATTTAAGTAGGGGCAAAACATTCCAATTGGATATCCTAGTACCATTTACACATTCTAAATAGCAGGTTTCATGTACATTTAGACCATAAAAGATCATTGTGTGGTGCAGAAAAAAAACACATTACTTACAATTCCATTTTTAATATTTTGACCAGGTTAAATAGACTTTGTCATCACATGCCACTTCTTTAACACATTTAGCAGTACAGCTAGGCAACTCCTTACTTGTATACCCAATAGTTATCTAATCTAACTTCTTTTAGTTATCACAATTTTACTTCCAGGAGTGTCAAAATCCATTGCCTGCCCCAGATGCTCCTATGCGCTTGTGGCTGCTATTTCACCTTTGATGATATGGAGCTCCCAGTTCAGCCTTCTGCGGTCTCATATGAAAGCAGGATTACACACTGGCAGAGAACCAGCAGCACCCTGATGAAGGCACTGAGGAATGCTGGTATTTGTGCACCAGCATTGCTATTAGAGGTACAAGCAGATTGTTTGCATAATAATGAGATCTCAACCTTTAGTTGGTGCAATATAGCAGATGTGCAGTATCATTGGACTCACAGCTCTGAGTCTTCTGGGTTTGCGGTCATTATATCCAAAATGGTGGCGCCCAGCAGAAGTTTCAGGAAGGTTGGTTTTTGAAGCAAGCTTTCATAAATAAGGCAAGATAAAAGGACAGAATATCTAAATGGAAGCTTGTTTAGGTTAAATAACTGGGGACACAGTCTTTTTAAAGTGAATTTTTCATCCACTTCAAACTTACAGCAGGCATCACAGAACGGAAAAGACGTCCGCTCAGCCACGCCCCCAGGAAATGCCCGATTTTTAAAAACAGGCAGCGATGCCTGTTACCATGCAAGCGATCCGCCGGCTTTGCCGGTGATCGCTTGTATGAGGTTCCGGTACGTGCTCCCCCCCTCCCCTCCCGCTGTCACGCTGGTCCCGGGCTCCGCTGTGCCCGAGACAAGCATAGTGCCACTCTGACAGGGGATCAGAAGGAGATGGGTACACGAACTCCCTCTGGTCCCCTCTCCGCTGTCAGAATGCAGAACTGATGTATATCACATCACTTCCGTATTCTTGTGTCACTCTCCAGCTTCAGATGCTGGAGAGAAGCTGATGAAGCAGATCTCTGCTTCATCAGGGGGGTCCTAGGTGACATTAGGGGTCTTTGAGACCCCTGATGTCTCCATAAAGAGGACCTGTCACTTCTTTTGCTATCACATAAAGGGGTTTCTTAGCTCCCTATAGGATAGCAATAAAGTTAAGTGAAAAAAAATAGGAAAAAATTAAAGTTACCCCCTAAAATTTAAAGCAAACGGGCGTGGGGTGCGCACAAGTGCGAAAACAACGATTGCGCCCATTACGCCGCACGTTTCATATCGTCGCGAACGTCGGAATGAGAGCAATAATTCTAGGGCTATCAATCACTGATAACACTAAACTGATGAGCTTTTAAAGCGTCGCCTATGGTCAATTTTGGGTATGGTATTTTTTTTGCGATTTCGCTGGTGCGAGCAATTTTAAAGCTTGACATGTTTGGTGTCTATTTACCTGACGTGACCCCGTCCTTTATATTTTACCAAAAATATGGGTAAATAATCATTTTTTCCTAATATAATGAAAAAATAAAAAAAACAGTGGTGATTAAATACCACCAAAAGAAAGCTCTATCTGTCCCCAAAGAATAGTATAAAATTAATTTCAGTACAGCGTTGCATGATGGAATAAATGTCAGTCAAAGTACTGCAGCGCTGAATATTGAAAAATGGCCTGGCCAAGAAGGGGGTCTAGAACACCTGGTCTTTAAGTGGTTAACTCTCTACACCCAGATCTCACTGCAACTATTCTATCTGAAGCATGTTCTAGTGCAGACACAGCTTCTTTTTGTATACGAAAGACAGAACAATCCTTAGTTGGTTGCAGAGTTTCCAATATCTTTCAAAACATTTCTGTGAGCGATAATAAGCTCTTCCAATACTTGTGTATGCTTGTTATTGACCATATCTCTTTGCAAAAAACAGTCACAAAATACCTGCCTTCACGGCTAGCAGACTTTTCTAATGTACCGATTTTTGGGAAGAAAGTTAGTTCCAGGGCAAGTATGAGTACACATAATTTGTAGTGAGGGAAATAGGTTTGCTTCCATTGGTGACCTCCTGAGAATACAAATTTCCTGGCCGTCTCGGACTTTAATACCTTCCAACTCAATGAGCAATTGCAACCATCATATTCTCTTTCCACAAGTTTTCCTTAAACTTCAAAGACCAGAAGCTAACATGCTACCTGAAATTCAGGAATGTCAGGGATAATGGCTACTTTCACACAAGGCTTCAGAGAAAGGTATTTAGCTTTTTGACAGCTTTCCTTTAACCAGTACAGTGTCCGACTATCCTTATCAATGCTCACACCGATTGCATCGATGATGGATATTGAGTCTGTCATGCCTTGTCTTTGCTATTAATTTCTGCATTCCCTGTATGAGGAAGATAAGGGTTTGGAAAGAATAGTTGTAATGCATCAATGTTGCTGCAACAACATAATTAATGATCTTCCACATCTTCCGTATATTTCTACAGATAATTTTTACCCACTCTCTCCTAAAAGTCTCTTTAGGAATGTCCTTGAGAAAAACAATATCACTTTTTCGTCTGAGGAATTTCTCTTCTTGGTAGGAAGGTGAAATGAACACTAAATACATCATTGTAAAATGAACTGCTGACATTGTGATCAACTTCCCTGCACACTAGTGGCATGCGCTCCGATTTCAGGCTCATTTCAGCCCCAGCAGGGCATCTCTCCTAGAGACTGCATTTATAAAACTGAATAGGGAAAAGCTATTATAAATATAGGATAGCATTACCTATATTAATCAAAGTCTGTCCCCTTTCATCATTTTTCTTTCTAATTTGTGCTTTTGCCTTACAAGGTCAGTAAATCATGCTGAGCACCATTTGCCTCGAAAGTGTTAACTTTAATGAAAATCTTGCTTGTGTACGTGTATGATAATAAAATATTACTCTGTTTAAATGTGCAGGAATTTAATTAAAATCATCTCCTAAAATATTCATAACCTTTAGCCTCTAGGGTACCAAAATCACATATGCTGTTCTTTTCTATTTAAGGTTTTTAAACAGAGGACACAGTATACATTATATCTGTTTTTCTAACCACAGCACCAGGGAGCTGCATTCTGCAGATCTAACCATCTGGGTAAGAAAACATTTACCCATGTGCACATACAATCTCCTGCCTCTGGCATAGTCATTTCATTTAGAACCCTACAATATTTGTATCCTATGACTGCACACAGGTCTGAAATATGCACTGGCTAAAAAAGAGCATAGTGCTATTTTGCCAGTCTATATAAAATACCAGTAAAATGGGCTCACTGCTGACTTGTGTGTGAACTGTGTTTCTTTTCTGCGGGCA